GTCAATATTATACAAAAAATGTTTATCAATTAATAGAAAATTACGATTATATTATTTTGTTGTAATTCAAAAGTATTTATCACAGGGACTGAAACTTTTACGTAGATTATTATTATATTTCATGTATACAATGATATTTTAAATATAATATACATATTAATTCATATTAATTGTATGATATTGCCTATTTGTACCATGAACTTATTCCATTAAACCRTTTTATATGGTAAATYGGTATTGACTCAAATATTAATAACAATAATTTATTTGAAGTAAATATAATATTATTATGATAATTAAATATTAAAAGGATATTATTATAAATAAAATGGTTTAAACAAAAATAAATTCAACCTACCGTATAGTGCTTACCGTATTACTAATAGTAAAATAAATAAATAACTATATTCGATATATAAATATATTCTAAGTCATACTTAATCGCCTCAGAATAGGTCATACGCATTACACACATGGTCACCTCATGAAAAAGGAGCCACCAAAAATATGCCTTACATGCGGAATTACATCTACAATCAAACATATTATCACCTAATGCAGAGACACAAAAGAAGCAAGACAAAAATTCAAAATACCGGAACACCTCCATGACACACTGGGTCCTGACAAAGAATCCATCCAAAATATAATTTTATTTTTGAAAGATATTGAATTGTACAATTTAATTTAAATTATCATTATCATGTAAAAACAAGCCAATGGTCATGTTACCGAGGCTTTTTCCTTAATAAAAAATATATATACCTATATATATATTTATTCTGAAAAAATTGAAAAATTGATAAAACATACTTAGTAATATTTACTATATACAATTTATTATACTAGGTATATAGGCTGACATACCGTCATCACTCAGAATCATTGGACGTATATTGTAATGATTTATCATAGAATTAATAATTAAAATAATCCATTACTGCAACCTGCTCAATGACACCTACACTCGATGACTTCTATATAACAAACTTAGTTCCATATTTTATTTGAAAACATATTTTACAACAGACTCAGTTCCATGTTTTTTTTTAACAATTTTATAAAATAAATTGTGTAATAAACTGTACATTACCAGCCTATGTGCCTATGTTATTTATTCATGTTTTACGTGCTATAATTAACGTTAGCTATGAATATTTATCAGATGGATTCCATAAAATTAAATAGAAAGTGTGGWGCAGATGACTTATGCCGTTATTTTTTCTATCGTTTTGTAGATTACCAAGGTAAATTTTTAAATTTGGTGCAAATCACTTATTGTTTTTATATTTTGACGTAGATTACATACTCACATAAACGTACTTTTGGTGGCACAATAATTACTATTTTCCAAACTAACACCACAGGATTTGCATAGGAGGTGGGGTTCTCCTTTAGCCATAAGAAATCCGTGGGTTAGTGATAGCCTTTTTAAACCCGAATTACATATTTTTGACCTATTGATTATTGCAATAAACATGGGTAATACTCATTCTCTGAAAATTAATATCGACGATAGTATAGGATAATATTATGTTTCATTATTTTTTATTATGACTACCTGTAATGTCAAATAAATGGTAATAAAAAACCCTTTCATGTCTGAGATTTTGTARTCATTTTAGTATGTAATTATTTTTTTTCGTCAAGAAGACCTTCAACATTTTAAATGTTTATTTTATTAACTAAAAAAATAGACAATGTGTAGATAAAAGAAATGTTAATGACAAGTCAGGCCATAGATAATTGAAGAAACGAAATAGTCTCTAAAAACTGATCGATGAAAGCGAAATCTGCCTTCTAAAATCATCAGGTATAATAAACGAGAGGACCAATACACATTGCTTGCTCACAAGATGGACAGACCTGAACAAATAATATTGATTGGAGAATAGTGATAAAAAACAACCGTTTCCACAGCGAATACAATTCGAAACACTTTTTAGAACAACATGAGTCAATTCATCACACACGTACATTATTATTATTATTTTTATTAAAAGTATTGTCTATTTCAGTGAAGAAATTTTCAGTCAGGAAGTCCATATTTATAATCATTTTCATTAATATTTTTTATTGTTCTCCAGAAACCTTACTCCATCTACAATTGATAATAGGTATTAATAAAAATTCGTCATTATATCACATTTATTGTTTTTGAATTATATTCTATAAATTATTGAAACGTAATCATGTTTCCWAAAAAAAAAAATATGATCTTRAAAATTCATTCAGGAAAATTTATTTTAAGGTAGGTATCAACTTTTCATGAGATATTTCATGAAAATATATTCCATTTCCATACCAATAGTTATATAGTCAACATTATTTTTAAATTTTTATTTAAATCTAACTAACTAAAATAAAATGTATGTTATCCGTTTATACTTTACACTATTTTTTTTCGGAGATTAATTAAATGTAAAATCATTAAYAAGCAAATCATATATTAAATCTTAGAATTCCATTACACTAATCATAACCAATTATTACACATTTTATGAAAATTGTTTAGTCGAACAAAATGTCATTGTTTTACAGATATACCAACCAATACATTTTAATTATTTACCTATATATATATAAACAATTCAAATTGTAAAAAAATAAATTGTATACGATTTTGTGAATTGTATAAATACAAAAAAATATTTTATTCAAACAAAATTACAATTAATAAAGTATTATTTTGAATTGAAATATAATTTCACAGTAGTTAAGTTTATGTAAATTTACAGTTACTTAAAACGMATTGAACGATTTGAACGATGTAAAAATTTTAATAAAAAAATAAAATAAATATCAAACGACATGTTTTGAAGTGGTTGCTGGAATACAACAAAATAACATAAACGGRTTATTCTTATTATAAGTTKCATACGTCGTAAATAAGTTTTTTATTGGTTTTTTCTAGGTATGTTGATCTCTTAATAGAAAATAGAAATGTCTTTCAATCGATGAAAACCACTATGAATTTTTCCTTCAAAGATTTTCCACATGTTATTTAATCGATGAAAAACGAAATGAACAATTTAGTAAATAAAATAAATAATTATGATACACGCTATGCTTAAAGGTACATTGTATTAAGTAGTTTCGTGGTATCGAAAGTATAATAATTATGAATATCGTCGCTTGTTTTATATTATTATACAGTACGATTCATCAAGTATCACTCACATCCGTTTTTTCATTTAATAATGAGTTTATTCAAATTCTTATTTTTAAGTATTTATGCACACGTATAGCAATATTTTTAATTATTTAGATATGTTTACCATAAAGAGAGTCCTATGACGTAAGAGATATTTACCAAATGGGATTTTTTATTTTTTTTTTTTGTGAATGTTATTGAGTAAATAATTATTTTTGAAAATCTCAATGTACCTAAATCAAAATTGGAAAAAATAATTTTTGAGTTATTAAAATGTTTAAGTTAACTATGTATAGTAACCCTTAAAAATAGATTCATACAATTATAAAACAGAAATAATATTGGATATAGTATTTATTATTCACAGACAAATTTCACAAGCCAAAAATTTGGTTATAAAATATTAAAATTATCATAGCACTCATATCCCAAACCCATTATGAACGTATGATGGACCCTATATATATTATCGTTTATACAAAGAGTTAAATAACTAGACAACTTCACTTTCGAATTTCGATTGAAATATATTAACATTTAAAAAAAATTTATCTAATTATCAATTTACCGAAAAAATACGTTGGTATCACCGCGTAACACTGTCTCTTTATATGGCATAAAAATGTATACTTGAAAAGCAGTTACTTGGGAATTCTAAAAATTAGAATTAGAATTCAATCATTATTAAAGGAAAACAATTAGGGTGAGCATCTTWGTGAATCACTGTCTGTATATGGSAATTTCGCAGGAGAATAAATTGATACTAATATACACTTTATACGTATTAAATATTRTTATCAAGCAAACACATCACGTGACCACAATTCGTTTGATGGGTTTTACAGTGGTCTTGTCACCGAACTCAGGTGACTTGTCTTCGCTTTTGGTTTCGGTGCTACCACTGCCGTCGCTGCCACCATCGTCACGGTCTTCAGACTTTTCACYGGACGTTCCGGTACCGTGGCCGACCTTGTCCTCAAGTGGTTGTTGTGCTGCCGATCCAGTGGCCGTGGTGTGTGACACGTGCGTCGACCCGGAACCTTGGTACGATGTTGGCTGCAGCAATGGCATCGACGACGACGACGACGACGCCTTATGTTGGTGTTGTTGATGGTTCAGGTGTTTCGGAAGCGGTTCATGCGACCGGTGGAAAAGTTGAGCACCTGGGAACTTTCCGAGCCCGGAGACGCCGCCACCCAGACCAAGGCCACCACCGAAGCCTCCACCACCGAGACCGGATGGAAAGCCAGCGACGAGTGGAGGGCCGCGAGTGTGTGTGGTGACAAATCCGCCGGACTGCTGCACAAACTGCTGGCCTGGTGGACCGTGCTGATGTTGGACCTGTTGGTGGAAACCTGGAAACACGGATATCGGCGCTGGAAGCGGAGACGGTGACGCTGACGATGGGACCAGGACCAGGGTCTGGTATGGGGCGCCGGGCTGGCCAGAAGAAGGTATGAGCAACATGATCGGCTGACCGATAGAAGAGGGTGTCGATGGATAAGGCGATTGGTGCAGAGGCTGCTGCAGCGAATTTGGTGCCAATTCGTAGCTCTGATAGTGTTTTGGCTGTTTAATCAGGTGGTGATGATAAGTTGCAGAGGGTTGCTGTTGCGCTTGTATTTTACCACCGCTGCCACCCCCGAGAAAGTCGTATTGCATTTTAGCCATAGAAGAATCGTAGCCGATTTGCTGTTGTTGTTGCTGGTTTTGTTGCTGTTGCTGATGCTGATGCTGATGCTGACGATGTTTGAGGTCAGATAGCGGATGTTGCTTGGCCGTCGGTTGTGGTCCGAAAAGGTCCTCGGCCGAGTAAGTTGCGGGTTCGGACTGGTGCGGGTTTTGCACAAACTGCGGGTACATGGAACCGCTCAAAGCTGGGTGGTTGGCCGGAAAGACGAAACGGTATGGGAACCCGGCTGCTGAGGTCTGAATGGAAGGTCCAAAAATAGATGAAGCCCGAGACTGCAACCGTTCTGGGTAATAGTAAGGGTCTCCACGCCGTGATCTGCCATCAGTACTTACGTAGTGCACCCTAGTCCTCGTGTTGCATGCCGCCAATGCGGCCGTTGCCCAAAAACACAGCTAAAACAAATAAAATTGTCTTTAAAAATATAATTTTTTTTCATTACTATTTTAAATGCTATTCTAGCTACAACAGCAGTGGCTCCGAACCATGATACATTATAGTCACTAGACAGGTCATCGAGAATTCATTAATTACAGAGGACTCCAGATAGTACTGCAACTGTATGTGCTTTAGAAAAGAACGGGTGTAAATTACAGGTGTCACAGAGAGGTTTATAAATTTATAATCTAAACTGTAGTCTGTAATAAATAATTTCCTTGAACTACAGTGATTAATAAATGAGTTACTGATTTATTTAAACAATAAATCAAAACAAAAAGCTTAACGATATGACTTTAACCTTAAAAAGTGGGTTGGCGGATAACTTTTTTTTTAGCTAAATGTGTTCTCAAATACCTCTGTGCAGTGTGMACCACTGGCTAATTATATCTTCTAGGAAACGTATTTGGTTTAAAGTCTAGTAGTTTTCAAATATATAAAACATTATGGCGTAATGACTAGACGATGCTKTAGGTATTAATGTGATTGCGCCTTTTCTTTGTCAAAACCATAAAACAATTCTTGTGGTTACACGGCTACGAGGATGAATTTTTACTACATACCTGTTTCGGCTTACTTTACTATTTTTGRCATACATTGGTTCAATCACCTCTACCATAATTTATAGTAATATTCGTACATTAAATTGAGTGTTCAGTAAACTGTTTACCAGATAATGATAATTATAACTAATTTTGGTATGAACTTTACCAGTAATAGTTCTTTGATATTATTTCACGCTATATGTATAAGATATAACTTAATATAACTTACATATGCATTGTATAGTTTACAGAGTGGTTKTAACTAAGCACGTTTACTCCCTCTTTATTCTTTAACAATGTATTCTATAATTTTTAAAAGTCTGAAGAACCATATACTTTCAAAATACTTAGATTTTCATAGAACTCGAGTAAAATCTTGAGGTGATACAATTTTCTATTTTTCAGAAATGTTAATTAGATAATCTTTTTGRAGATTTTGGTGACTTGCTGTACCAATCTAAATCTAAACTATAACGAATAGTTTTTGAGTAGGTAATTAAAATAATAAAATGTGTTTATTATTTCCTTAAATAGTATAAAAAAATATAATCATTTTAAAATATGGATATTAAATATATTCAAACATTTYAAATCATAATTAGGATAAATGCAATACTAAAAATTAAAATRAGATAAGTATTGTTATGTAAGTATGGTTAATTACCATTTTATATCATACAGTTAGACATACGCCTAGTTATAAGATGATAAAATAGTTAAAGGAGTTATTATTTRAAAAAAATAATTTTTAATAAATACAATAAACATTTAGATATATTAGTTGCTATTAATGAGCGCAAAATAATTGTATAAATTTACATTTCATGAACTTTGAAAATTGCGTTAATGAATAGCTATTTTGCCTATCCGATGAAAAATATTTTATTAACATAAGTAGCATTTCAAATACACAGGTTAATACGCCAAATAAATCAACTACATGAAATTTTTAGTTAAAACGGATGTCATAATACAAAATAATAATTTGGGAATTAGATACGATGATAACTATAATCTCTAAAAACAATAAAACCGTAAGCCGATACGAATCATTGGCGTATTATAAAAATTGGGGAAAGTAGATAATATTGCCCGCTCTAATATTATTTAAGACAAAAGAATAATCATTATTTAGCAGGGCGGAAGAATAATATCCACTGGAAATTCGATGAGGAAAAAAATCAAATGACTAGCCAAAAMGTAATTCTAAAAAATTATTGGAATTTATATTGTTTTATATTTTCAATGGTTAGATTTATGTATTGAAAATGAACATACGTATATAAATGTTTATAAATAAATTATTATACATGAATTGTAGGTTAAATTTCTTTATACACTTTACATACATAGTATAGGTACATTCATACATATTATACACACTCGTCACTCATAGTATAATATTTTAAAACATATAGTGTTACACTGTGCTCTGAATTGACTTAAATAATTATTTATTTATATAAAAATAAGMTAGTGGTGGTTGATAATTTAAATTTTTCTCTGTCTTTTTTTGTTTACAGTACCTAAGAAAAATCTCGTTTTTTAGTTTCCACTATACTTAAAAAAAATTCAGTTGTTTTAATTATTAAGAAGTGATGAGTATTTAATTTATTAYCTTATAATATATATTTTTAGTTTGTACAAAGTTATAAGTATTAAATATTAATATATTATATCATCATCATTTAAATAGGTACTACATACATTTTTAAGTAATTTTAATTTTTCTTATAATTTATAATTACCTTCATACTTGTAATAGTTTAAATGATTATAAAYTTTTAACTTTGAAAAAATGTGTCATATTAATTAGGTATTTTTATCCCCCAAATTTTATAATGTTTATTGACATGTAAAATAAAAATATAAATACTGTTTTGTTATGATGGTACTGATAGTATTTAAATTACACTCTATAAAAATGTGTAATGATAATAATATATAAAATAATAATAATATACTATATTTTTATTTTTATTGAAATGTTTTTCATTAATTTCATATTTTTATTTCAAACAATATATTATTTCTAATTTCCAAACATGAAAATAAATTTAAAGAACAGTTTASGTGTGATTATTTACAGAATTGTTGRATAATATAGCTTCAAAGTTATGATTTATATGAACTTTAAATTTTCCATACGTATTATGGCTATTATAAAATCAGCCATCCGTTTGAAAATTWAAAAAAAAATTATTTTATATTTAATAATACTGTAATAAATACGAATTACCGCTGACAGTTATTATTATATTAGGGTGAATTAAATAGTGATTTTATTATTATTAAAATATTATTATTCTTAAGTACTAATAATAATACACTTACCGCAAACGTAGGTAACATGATAACGATAAAGATTTTCCGCGATCACTCTCTACACACTATTGGAGCCGGGAAACGTGCGAAAATGACCACGGCTAAATTTTCGAGATGTATTTCCCTCGCAACCACATGGGAAATGGTAAGAGGGGATTTTGCTCTAAATCGTGCACGGATTGTCGGTAATTTAAATCGCTTTCATTCAAGCAAACGACGGGGAAACACCTCCGTGATCTTTTCCCTGCTATATAATATATATGGTTATTGGTTATGCTTGCTAAATATAATAATAATCGAATAGGTTCAACGATCACGCGATGTAAACGCGCCATGTCACAGGCAATGTCATTTACATGCAACCAACACCTCCACTGTTGTATTGATTAAATTTTGTCACTTTGGCATTAAATGGTTAGGCAAAATTTACCAAACGTGACACGTACCCCATATTTTGTATCTTTTGTTATGTATTGATCAATGATATATTTAAAAATTATATTATGTACACCTAGCCACCTAGGTAATGCCGTAGTTAAATTTATTATAACACGGAACAATATTCATTAGCGCAATAATCTATCCAGCGGCTTATACGATATACTAGGACCTTTTCTGCAATCACCAGACATATTCGTATTTCTCCAGGAGACAGGACTGGACAAACTTATTTAATCATTAAAAAATAAATAAAACACAATCTTATTATTATTATTATTATTATTCTCATATAATTTAGGCATTTATTGTTACTGTTATTAAACTTTTCTTTTATTATTATGTAA